TATATATAGATATATATGGTACATTATTGGGTGGTTTGTATATCACTATCTTGTTAATGCATGATATGAAGTTTCATATGATAATTTTAAGTTGATTCCGGGTTACTTTTAATGATGTTGAACAGTTTTTTTAAATTATTATCTAACTAATATATAATAGGAAGTGTTTCACCTTTTAATATGAGACCTTCTGATGTGAATTAAATATAGTCGAGCTCTAAAGAGGATAACAGACACCAAATGAGAAATCAAAAAGAAAATGTTATGAATCATTAATTTGAACCCTAGTTGCGGAGTCGTCATCTTGGTTAGAGAGAGTTTTATCTTTCAATGTGAGTCTTTCATATGTAAATTTAAATATAATCGAGCTCCAAAGCGCATGTCGCCATCATTGAATAAGAAATCAAAAAAAAAATATTATGATTCATTGATTCGAACACCAACTATGAATCATCTATGTTAAAAATACACTTTACCTTTCAATATGAGACTTTATGACGTGAATTTATATATATATGAGCTCCAAAACAGGTAACAAACACCAGATGAGAATTCAAAAAAATAAAATTACGAGTCATTGATTTGAATCGCTACCTATATATTTGAGTCGTCTTCGTTAGAAAATATTTTACTCAATTGTGAATTTATATAGTCGGACTCCAAAACGGGTAACAGACCCGGGATAAGAAACCAAAGAAATTGTATGACCCATGGATCTCATCTAATGGGCCATAAAAAAAAATAAAAAAAAATCCAAACCACATAAAACTCATTCACGGCCCATTTAAATCCCCTAAAAAAACCCTAACCTTCTTCTCCATTTCTTCACAAGCAGCAACCTAGGGTTAGCAGAGCACTGTGTGTCTGTGTGTTAGAGAGAGAAAGAGGAGTGAGAGAAAATGGTATCAGGTTCAGGAATCAGCGCAAGGAGGATAGTGGTGGATGCTCGCCACCATATGCTTGGAAGACTTTCTTCAATTTTGGCGAAAGAGCTTCTCAATGGACAGAGAGTTGTTGTTGTTAGATGTGAAGAGATTTGCCTTTCCGGTGGACTTGTTCGCCAGAAAATGAAGTATCTTAGATTTCTTCGTAAGAGAATGAATACAAAGCCATCTCATGGTCCTATCCATTTTCGTGCTCCTTCTAAGATCCTTTGGCGTACAATCCGTGGGTATGATTTGTTTATTCCAGCCTTCATTTTTGTTGCTTGTTGTTTTGATTTAGTTGTTGAAGTATGTGTTTTTTTTTAGTTTTATAATGATTTGTATGATACCGATTGTTAGTGTAATGTTGAATTATCTGTTGCATTTGAGGATGTTGAATTTATGTTAAAGGTGTGAATTTGATTATTAGTGTGAAGCTGTTGGTGCCAAAAAGAAGCATAATAGATACTGTGCATTCATTCAGTTGTTACGCAAGAACAATTCAAGGGAATGTTGATGTATCTCTTGTGTTCGATGTTCGAGAACCTTATTTATGTTCAAAGGTGTGATTTTGATGATTAGCACAAACCTGTTAGTGCTAAAACGAAGCATAGTAGATACTGTGCACACCTGGTTGTTAGGAAATATCATTTTGAGGAACGTTGAAGTATCCCTCGTGTTTGAGAACGTTGAATTTATGTTAAAAGGAATGATTTTTATCATTAGCATGAAGCTCTTGGTGAAAGAACATTTTAGGGGAATGTTGAAGTATCTCTATTTTGATTATTAGCGTGAAGCTGGGGATGCCAGAAAGAAGCATAATAGATATTATGCATTCATTCAGCTAGTTTGGAATAAAGGCATAGCTGTTGCAGTTGTATATATATAAATTTTATGTGTATAATGCTATTTCAATAAGTATAAATTGTTTATGTTAGATACTGCCTGACAAGAGCTACTGAGCTAGGTCCTGTGGATTTTCATTGGAATGGAGCAGGTGTCTAAAGAAGCATAATATATGTTGGGGGCACGCCTTATTGATCCATACTACTTTTGAATTATGGCATAGCTGTTGTAGCTGTAGATCTATTTTTTACATGAATAGTGTAGTAGCACTGGACTAATTTTTAAGGGCTATCTTGTGGCAGTATGAAGAATGTTGCTGAATCTATATTAGTGTTTTTGGGAATCAGTGCAAGTAGTTTTGGTAATCTTGTTAGAAGAACAAGTTTTGTTTAGGGGGACTGTTAATATGGTTTCCAGCATTTACTCAATGCTAATGAATATGCTATCACCATTTCCATGGTGCCGAGTTTCAAAACTTGTCAAGTATGACTTGCAGATAGGGCCTTACAAATTTGTTTAGATGTTGATAAAGATTTTTAACTTGTGAATTGGACCTGGATGAACATTTACTGAAGGTGTGTTGCATTTAGTATGTATACATGTCTAGGTGGTGCAATGTTTATTTCATATCATTTATAATTGAAACACGCCTTTTGCTCACTCTCATATTCTCTTTCTGTTTTCGTGTTTGATTGATGAGTGTTATGGCTGTGGTAGTTATTTCATATCCTTGCCATGTAACTGTTTTTGCCTAATTAAGTCTGTTTATTTCACCTTAGGATGATTCCCCACAAGACCAAGCGTGGGGCAGCTGCACTTGCCCGCTTGAAGGTCTACGAGGGTGTCCCACCCCCATATGACAAGATTAAGAGGATGGTTATTCCCGATGCTCTAAAGTGAGTTGAAGCTGCAGATGTAGTTAAATTCTTAGTATTATTGTTCTTGTTACACCGACACTTTTGTATTTTCTTATCAGGGTATTGAGGCTCCAAGCAGGACACAAGTACTGTCTCTTGGGCAAGCTTTCATCGGAGGTTGGATGGAACCATTACGATACTATCAAGGTAAGTTTACTCATTCGGTCTAGCAACATGACGTGTTTTTAGTAAGATTTTACAGTGAGACAATCATAGTGTATAACATATGCTTAAAGTACGCGAATATGTTTCAAACAGTTGCTTACTTCTCTCCCTTGAAATCATGACTACAACAGGAACTCGAGAACAAGAGGAAGGAGAGAGCTCAGGTAGCATACGAGAGGAGAAAGCAGTTGGCAAAACTTAGAGTTAAGGCTGAGAAAGCTGCCGAGGAGAAGCTTGGACCTCAACTTGCCGTTATTGCTCCTATCAAGTATTGAATTGGGACATAGTTATTTCGAAGTACAATTTTGTTGAAGATCGATAATTCATCTTAATCTCGACCTTTTTCTTAGTTACATTGTCCTCCTGAGTGGTGTATTTTCAGTTCAGCAGTGTTTGAGAAGACTCTCAGACTCTTTTATCCTTCATTGTTTTTGGTAATGAAATCGAATCTCATGCTTTTAGTGATACACAGATATGTCATCTCCTCTAGTACCTCCTCTGTTCTGTCACTCCTTGGGTGAGGCCTTCTGTTTTAAGAACGCTTCAATATTTAATGATTCACTTTCACAGAACGATTCTCAATAAGGACGTTAAGACTATTAAAAAAAAAGGAATTTTTGAAACGTTTAGCTATTCCAAAAAAGAGGATATTTTTAACAAAAAATCAAGATTGACTCTGATTAGATCCTTACAAGTTACAAGAGTGAATTGTTTAATATCTAAGAATTATTTTTGAAAATCATAGTCATATAATGTAAGGGGTGTTAAGGTGACATTATTCCCTTTTTACAACAAATACTAACAATATATATATATTAGTTTTTAAATTGTTGATTATGATTTTAAACTCTAAAGGATCAGAGAAGAATATGCTCAAATTAAGAGTGTGTTTGGTACGAAGGGTTCTCGTGTTTGGTTGGTGAGATATTTATAGAAATTTTTTTGACCTGAAAATCAATCCCGATAATCGATCTGAGACTTGAGCCGAAACTCGAGATGCGACCTCGACACTCGCCCCAAGTCCGACCTCTAATTCTAACTCGAGATCCAACCCCGACTCAATTCGAAACTCGAGAGTTGGGTCTCGAGAATCAGAAGTTGGATTTTGAAAACAGTTTCCAAAATATTCAAGTCAACCAAACATGAGAAAATTGAAAAATATTTTCCTTGTACCAAAACACACCCTAAGCTACTTTCAGTGAATAAGAACCTTTTTTTTTTAATTATTATTTCACATTAATAGCCACATCAAACAATCCATACATAACATTAATCACAAACGATTAATGTTTCTCCATTTTCTTATATATATTTCCATCTTAATTATCAATCATAGATCAACCAGTGGAAATTCCAAGATTCTAAAAATGTCTAATTAATACTACTTGAGCAAAAAATATAATAATGAGAAAATGAAATAAAAATGGAAGTTAACATTTCAAAACAGATTTTGCAAATCATATCAATTATTTTCTTTCAGAAAAATTCTTTATTTGACAATATTTATTTATTTTCCCTTCCATTTATGTCTCTCTATATAAAATTGTACATATTTTATTCCTTCCCCCTAAATATAGAGTTGTATTAAATTGAGGGTTTCCATATATAATATATAGTTATATTTTTTTTCTATACAACTCTTTATAATAAAGAGTAATAACTTTTAATCTTATACTTATCTTTTTCTTGAAAATGTCTTCTTTTTTCTTTAATTTTTTTATTTTCTTCCTAGGAATTATTGAACTTGGAAATGCAAAATTTCTTAGTGATTTTCAGTTTAATGAGCAAAAAAAGAATCCAACAGTGTATGTTGATCCATCTGGACATGGCAATTTTGCAACTATTCAATCAGCCATTGATTCTGTCCCTCAAAATAATAAATATTGGATCTGTATTCTCATCAAACCTGGACAATATAGGTATCATTTTAGTATCTTGGTTGATATGTTTTTTTTTTCCGAATTTAAGTTATACATACTAACAATAAACTTATGGAAAAAAATGAACTTTGTCACTAAATAACAATATAGGTATCATTTTAGTATCTTGGTTGATATGTTTTTTTTTTCCGAATTTAAGTTATACATACTAACAGTAAACTTATGGAAAAAAATGAACTTTGTCACTAAATAACAATATAGGTATATGTTTAGTATCTTGGTTTTGGTTTATATAGTGTTTAACAGATTTACGTTATATATATTAAAAGTAAACAATTTTTTTTTTGAAATCAGCTATGAATTTTGTTGCTAGATAACAATATAGGTATCAGTTTAGTATCTTGGTTTTGGTTTATATATTGTTTTACAGATTTAAGTTATGTATACTAACAATAAACAAAAAAATAAAATTAGCTATGAACTTTGTTAGCTAAATAACAATATAGATATCAATTTAGCTTCTTGGTTTATATATTCTTTGTAGGATTTAAGTTATATACGTTGTCAATTAGCTATGAACTTTGTTGCTAAATAACAATATAGGTATCAATTTAGTATCTTGATTTATGTATATTTTTTCGGATTTAAGTTACAATTTTTTTTTAAAATTGAAACCAGCTATGAACTTCGTTGCTAAATAGCTCATAGTTAATAGTTTTTAAAATTATGATTCATTCCTTAATTATTACTATATTGAATTAGCGATGAATTTTACTGTTTAACTATACATAATTTGTTCAGTATTGAAATAGAATGATTATACTAACAATGAAATTTAACCTACTTTTCTTGTTATAAATTTCGACTCTCTAAAAATATTAATACAATCGTATCAATCAGTCCTTAAAAATACTATTTTTTTCAAGGATTCAACACGATCATGACATTTATATAGTTAGATTGTACTTGATAACATAAAATATATATATATTGTCAGTTCATAAAACTTAATTTTTTTATTAATATGTTATATTATTTTAATATGATTTTTTTTTTGTGATATTATTGGATGTAGGGAACAAGTGAAAATCCCAAGAGAGAAGCCATATATTTATCTAAAAGGAGATAAAAGTGGAGAAGTTATTGTAACTTGGAATGGTCATGGCTCAATTGCTACTGATGCTACTTTCACTACTGAAGCTCACAATACAATTGTGGAAAGTATCACATTTATAGTAAGTGAAAAATAATTTTAATTATATAAAAAAAATTGTATATGTAATTAGTTCGATCCTTATAATAATGAACTTGTAAAAATAGATTTGTTTATTCAAAAGATATATCGTTGTTTTTTAACAAGTAAAAGTTATGTCTTGGTCCAATAACTGAACTCCTTTTACAATTACAAAAAGAGAATTTGTGTATCTCGGATTTACTTAAATTGTGGAAATATAATAATTTCTTTCGTTTAATTGAAGAAAAGATAATTTTACATCAACAAGTAAAGAAAAAAAGAAATTATTTAATTTTGTAGTTATGTTGCACGGACTTTTCAAAATTATTGTTGGTGTACTCATGTCCGATCCTCAAAAATGCACCATTCACATTCGATAACATTTTTGAAAAATTCGAGCTACATAAATTTACACTACTATTTTTAATTCTTTTTGAAACAAACTAGTATACTATTTTTCTAATATGTTTTTTTAAAGCTTTATTGTTGTAAATTATTGACAATAAAGTGGTTTGAATTTATTTATTTAATTATCAGAATTCTTATAATTACCCTCCAAAAAGCAACAAAAATCCAAGGGTGGTGGCAGTGGCAGGCATGATTTCTGGTGACAAATGTGTATTTTACAAGTGTAAATTTCTTGGATTTCAAGACACATTATGGGATGTTGAAGGAAGACATTATTTCAAACTTTGTAACATTGAAGGAGCTGTTGATTTCATCTTTGGTAATGGTCAATCTATTTACGAGGTAAAACACTACTCACATCTTCTACAAGTATTACCATATGGACTAAAAAAAATTATAATAGCATCGTTTGTTGTTCAGATAAATAGCATCGTTTGTTGAAAAAATCAGTTACAAAAAACATAGATGTTATAGTGAAATGTCATTATAGTGAATGGAAGTTATAGAGAGGTCTTACTGTGTATACAAACAAATAGAAGATAGGTCGGTGCATTAAGTCGATCAGGAAGGAACTACAATAGGTACATATTTGGACGAATCCAATAGCTTTTGCTTAGATTCTAAATTTGTCTTAAGAAACCCATTAAGTATGTATATGTGTTTAATTGTGAACCTATTGACTAAAATGATCTATGGATATGATGGCAAGTCCAGAACCAATAAGCTTCAAATCCTGCAGGATTTGCTTAAAGGCTGCACCCGAGAGGTGTAATATTAGCAGTTAGTGATTTTTTTCATGCCTCGAACCCATGATCATACTCCATACAAACAGAGCGGATCCAAGATTTAAAGTTTATGAGTTCAACGACCTCAAGTTAATATAAAACAATAACTGGTTCACAATCTAATATTTCTATATATTTTAGACATATTTCTTTATATAATATAGGGTCCAAACAAAAATTGTTGGTAGCACATAAATAACTTTATCGTTGTTTTAAGAATCTCCATTATAGACTACTATATAGTGTATCATTTTAAAATCTTCTTATATATTAATAAAATAATTAAGCACCAATGTTTTAATTGTTGTATATATATATGCAGAATTGTACAATATCAGTAAATGCAGGAGCTTTAGATGGATTAATAGGGTATATAACAGCACATGGAAGAGAAAACCCTAATGATACAAGTGGATTTGTGTTCAAGAATTGTAATGTTATTGGAAATGGGCAAATTTTCTTGGGTAGACCATGGAGACCATATGCAAGAGTTTTATTCTATGATTCCTCTATGTCTAATGTCATCACTCCTCAAGGTTGGGATGTTGGAGTCTTTGGTGGCAAAGAGTAAGTTCTTTTCCTATTTAATCATATGGTATTCAAAATTCACTTTCTCGACTAATTTACATTAGTGTCATGACTTAGGGCTATATTTGGTATTTGAAATTCACTATCTCGACTAATTTATATTAGTGTCATGAGTTAGGGCTATATCAGGTATTTCAAATTCACTTGCTCGATTAATTTATATTAGTGTCGTGAGTTAGGGCTACTAAACGTACCGATTTAATCATCTGGTATTTGAAATTCACTTGCTCGATTAATTTACATTAGTGTAATGAGTTAAGGCTATTAAATGTACCATAGAAGCTTATATTCCCATAGTTTGAATTTGAGACCTTTATTTAAGATCAAAGAGATCTAAAATGCTAAATCATCCCATCAATATCGCGCTTTTCCGATGGTACTTGAATTATTTACTTAGTGTTTATGTAATCACAATATTCATTCTTCTAAATTATATATGTTGATATAAGGGTAGTTAATTAATCAATGACTCCTAAATTTGCTTATGCATTAACTTTTGTGTTGATTTTAATTATGTTCATTTTTTTGTTTGTTTATGATTTAGGAAACAATTAACATTTGCTGAGGAAAGTTGCAAAGGAATGGGATCAAACACTTCAAAAAGAGTGTTATGGAAAGCAATTTTGAGCCAACATGAGTTACAACAATTAATTAGTCTATCATTCATTGATGATGAGGGTTGGATTACCAAACAACCCTTGAAAGTACTTCAATAGTTTAATTTAATTGTTAATTTTAGTTTTAATTTTAACAATAAAAAAAAAAGTTAATTAGCTTAGCCTAGATATATTTTACGTACCTATATATATTAGTATGTGTTCTACATTCTAGCTATGATCATAATAAATATATTGGAACAAATTAACTTTGGATTTTATTAAGCTACTTTTTTCGCATACAATATGAAAATGTTCAATTTCTATGTGCTTAGTTCTTGAATGAAATTATTATTACGTATATTTAGCAAATGATGAACCTCTTTGTGAAAATCATGTGTCCATCTCTGGTCCAAGATTCACAAACATGTTTATCGTTTCACATTATATTAAAACGCAACTTGATCGATCTGCAGATAAATTCATATTGGAATAAAACAATCAAGAAAGTAGCCAAAAAAGATGCACAAGTTTTGCTTTTTCCAGTCTTGGTTTACTATCACAACATAAATGTTAAAGAGCAAAAGGTAAATGCCTATGAATATTCCAAGTATAAGAATATACATTCTAGGTTCTCTTCTCATAAGCAAGGATAGGAACATGTGAATGGTGGTTCATTAGCAAAGACGGTCACCGTTCGCGTACAAAATAGCCTTACACCACCACCACTGAGACTCCTACCCTTCTCGACCACCACGAAGTCTATAAATGATGCGTCCTTTACTGGAATCATAACGACTTACTTCGATTTTGACTCTGTCTCCAGGCAACAACCGTATGAAATTCTTTCGTATCTTCCCAGAAATGTATCCCAGTACCACATCTGCGTTATCCAATTTGACCCTAAACATGCCATTGGGGAGAGACTCGGTAATGGAACCTTCATGAGTCCATTTTTGTTCCTGCGAGAGACATTGAATGTTGGTAGTACGTCTGGAATTGGTGGAATTGTTCTTCTTCTTCGACTGTTGCTCTGTTTTAACCAAAAGTCCCTTGGCTTGTTTCATTAACTCTTCTTGCTTGCTGACAAACACAGAGCGCGGCAGTGCTAATGAGTTGGAGGTTTTACAGGACGTTGGAGATGGAGAACAAGCTGCCATTGCAGCAGTGGCAGGAGCGGGATTCCACCATGACAGAGATACCATTGTAAAGAGAGCTAGTCTATGGTGCACGATCACGACTCAGCAACACAGCAATCTAAAAATAGCCAAAACACAACACAGCCACATTAAGATGAGATGATTATGTATGAAAATACAAAACTAGGCAAACGAGTAACTTTCTTTAGTCTTTTTGAGTGATAAAGAAACTTAGAACAACACTACTTTGGCTTTTTCCCTGAGAAACTAAGTTAAAATATGACGACAATATGAATATAAATCACAAATTAGACAAACGCTGAACTTCTCTAGACCTTCAAACTTCAAAGTGAACTGAAAACGTTGAACTTTCACCACTTCGGCATTTTCTGAAACAAAATTTGAATAAATCATCTATAGGACGGCAATAACAAAAATAGTATGCCGATTTACCCTTCTATTCATTGTTACTAACATTCTATTAAAACTAAGGATAAAAGTGGAAGTTAAATTATATTCTTTCTTTTTCCTCTTTTATTTCTGACTTTCTCCTCTTCTTCTTGTCCTTCTTCAAGCACCTTCAGATCTTCCCGTCAAATCCCAACTGCCATTACAGTTGGTAATCTACCACTCACAAACAAACTAAAAAGTTCTTCTTTTCTTCTATTCCTATTTCAGTCATATATACGTTTTCTTTTGGTTTCCTGCTTCTATGTTCTCTTTTCCTTCTGCTGCTGCTGCTGCTACTTCTCGTTTTCCTCCTCCGACTCCTCCTTCCTCATCTAGCTCTATCAGCATTCATCTCATTGTGTCTTCCCACTCCGACAGCTTCAATTCAGCTCATATAGTCCAACCTCCAATCACCATTGCAACCCAAAAGTTCCACCCCCAACCATACTAGTGGTTTGTTAATCTCCCTCCTTTTCAGTTCCCGTCTTCCTTTGTCAAATTTCTACCCCAAACACACATTTGATGGGTACTACTTGGGGAGAGGAAGGAAGAAAGTAAAAGTAAAACACAGAGACAAAAAGAAAGGGCCAGAATGAAGAAGCAAAAACAATAGGAAACGAAAACACACTTGAGTATAAATTGGTATTTTACCTTAGTTCAAATGATGTCACTTAAAAAATAACAGAAGTATGAAGCTTGAGACCAAAGACACCACAAAATAGTGTCACAAAGCTAGAATTTCAAAGGCCCCGGCTTAACAAATGTAAAACTATAGAAATCACAACTGAAAGACAGAGGTATCACTGCTGCTCACTTTTTCACCATTATTACCTATTGCAATAAGATTCTTCCTTCTCTCATGCACCATTATCTAGTGTGCGAACGTTATCAGCTCAGCTTGGACTACCACCAGAACTCTCAAAGAAGGTTAAAAAAAGGCAGCTCCTTAGCTTTTCATGTTTGAACTTTTCACCTTCCAAATTTCTAAAGATTTGGAAACCTACAAAGTATACTTTTGAGTTTTGACTCCTCTTAACAAATCCCGAAACTTTTTAAAAACTGATATTAACTTCTTTCTTCTTCTTTTTTGGCAAAGAGTTATCACCCGCGCCTGGCTCACCATTGACTTGGAGATTCATAGTCTTCTATTTTAAGCATAAATCTCTCAAAGGAGTGACCTACTAAGTCAATTAAGTGAGTTGAGAACAACGAGGTCTCATGTTCAAATAAAAACTCTAACTCATTTCTTCTCACATATTCTAGCCTTGTTCGGACAGAGTTACCCGTTGCCTGTTTTTGGTATCCCGTGGAATTGGTCAAATGTAGGCGCAAAAGCTGGCCCAGACAACACGATTATCAAAAAACTACTATTATCAAGTTCTCTAACATACTAATCTTAACTCATAAGATTTCAAAATGCTTAGAATTGACATACTTAATACTTGAAATTATTTGTTCAAATAAAACTCAAATTATCCAAATATCTCAATCTCAGAACGGCAAATTAGTAAAGATACAACAAATTTTACAGAAAGAGGAACTTACAACTCAATTTCGCCGGAGAAAAAAACTGCCAAATGATAAACGGGAAAGTAGTAGTATCAACTTTGCCGGAGAAGACGAGCGTCAATTCGAAACTTGCAGAAACTTGAGGTCCTTATCTGCAAAACAAAAAAATTGGACTCTAAACCACCAATCGCCGTTGGATATACTTTTCCGGCGCCGGCGAGAGAGTGAATTTACAGTAAAATTAGTAGAGCCCTTTATAGTTGGATAAGAGAGGGAGGGACTACAACTGGATTTTTTTACAAAAAGGATTCTCTTTATCCCTAAAAAATAAAAAATAAAAAAATCTATTTTTAAAATAATGGGTTTTAAACTTTATTTAAAAAACTTTATTTTAATCTCAAGAAGCAAAATTTGGATTTATCATAATTAGATTAACTATGCAAATTTAAAATGTCTAATATAAATATTTTATCATATATTTTTTCCATTAAAAGTGACTAAGTTAGTTGAGCAAGTGATCTCTCAAATGGGTGTTTCAGATTCGCACGAAGCTTGTTTAGTGTGATTTAGCTCTCTTATTTGATTTACGAATTATTACACTAGAACGGAATTACCATATGGAAATAGTTTTTTTTTTTTTTATCCTTTGTTGATAGATTAAAAAAAAGAAAAAGAAGCTATATGTAATATGGCCTTTGCCTTGTTAATCATTCTTTGCACAATGGTTACATGAATTATACTTGTTTAATAGACCAAAAAAATTAAAAATAAACTTGATAGTCCGCCTTAAAAAAACATTGTTCAGTGCACAAAGCATTCTAGACTTTTTGGTTAGCCCTCCTTCCATGCCAAGCCATCACGATGGGTTCCCCTTCCTCGGACCAAGAGGCTTGGACTATGAGCCCGCTTAGCAAACGAGGCACGGAACGGGGTGGATGGTTACGGCGTATCATAGAACGGACTTTGCTTTTCCAGGCTAGAGAGGAGCTATTACATATCAACAACTATGCTAGCTCGAAAAGGACTGAAAGAACTTACATTAGTTCGTGACTTGAGGGTGAGGGGAAGGAGCAGTAAAGAAGTAAGGAGGCGTGAGTGCATGATTTGAGAAAATACCGCATCCCAAGGGATGTGATGTAGACAACCTATCCAAATACAAACATTATTGCTTAGCGATTGTTTCCACCGCTCAAATATGTGACTTACATAACCAGCTTGAAAGATGACTACAAAACCAAAACTTAGTAGGAAAAGGAAGAAAAGGGCAAAACACAGATAATTAGAAACCA